TTCCACCAGCCTCCAGCTCCCACCAGGCCCACCTGCTCCTTGGCGTCCGCACCGAAGGCAGTGATCCCTCAGGGAGGGGAGTTTCCTGCCTCCCATTTCTGGCCCTCTGGGCCAGGCCTGTTTACACAAAGCCCATTGGTCATTTAGGGTTCCTCCCTGGCCCTGGTTTCTCCTGCCCCACAGCAGAGGCATGGTTTGCCTGGTTCCAGCCTCCAGCTCCCACCAGGCCCACCTGCTCCTTGGCGTCCGCACCGAAGGCAGTGATCCCTCAGGGAGGGGAGTTTCCTGCCTCCCATTTCTGGCCCTCTGGGCCAGGCCTGTTTACACAAAGCCCATTGGTCATTTAGGGTTCCTCCCTGGCCCTGGTTTCTCCTGCCCCACAGCAGAGGCATGGTTTGCCTGGTTTCAGCCAGCTAACGTGCCCCACCCCAGAGGCAGCTGCATCCTCAAGGCTAGACTCTGCCCCCCACAACCAAAGGGCATCAAAGCCAGAGTTGTGATTAAGCGTCACCATCTGTAGGTGAGAGTTAGTTTTTTATGGTGATAAAATAACAACTGGCATGGATGTGTAAAGAGCAAATCATGGCAAACCAGCCTGAGAGCTTTCTTTGATAAGATAACAAGTCTCGCAGATAAGGGGGAAGCGGTGGACGTGGTATACCTAGACTTTAGTAAGGCATTTGATACAGCCGCCCTCCTTCTTATCAACAAACTAGGGAAATGAAACCGAGATGGGGCTACTCTAAGGTAGGTGAGGGTACGCCCACATCTTGAATACTGCATACAGACGTGGTTGCCTCATCTCACAAAAGATATACTGGCATTAGAAAAGGCTCAGAGAAGGGCAACTAAAATGATGAGGGGTTTGGAACGGGTCCCATATGAGGAGAGATTAAAGAGACTGGGACTTTTCAGTGTGGAAAAGAGGAGACTAAGGGGGGATAGGATAGAGGTCTATACAATCATGAGTGTCATGGCGAAAGTGAATAAGGAAAAAAGATTTATTTGTTCCCATAATATAAGAACTAGGGGCCACCGAATGAAACTAATGGGCAGCAGGTTTAAAACAAATAAAAGCAAGTTCTTCTTCACGCAGCTCATTGTCAACCTGTGGAACTCCTTGCCTGAGGAGGCTGTGAAGGCTAGGCCTATAACAGGGATTAAAAGAGAACGAGATAAATTCATGGAGATTAAGTCCATAGATGGCTAGTAGCCAGTATGGGTAAGGAGTGGTGTTCCTAGCCGCTGTTTGTCAAAGGCTGGAGATGGATGGCAGGAGAGAGATCGCTTGATTATGACCTGCGAGGAGTCCTGTGGCACCTTGTAGACTAACTGAAGTGTTGGAGCATAAGCTTTCGTGGGCAAAGACCCACTTTGTCAGATGCATGCATCTGACGAAATGGGTCTTTGCCCACGAAAGCAGATTCAGACCAACATGGCTACCTCTCTGATACTTGATCGTTACCTGTTCGATTCACTCCCTCTGCGACACCTGGCATTGGCCACTGTGGGCAGACAGGGTACAGGGCTGGATGCACCTTTGGTCTGACCCTGTCTGGTCATGCTTATGCTCTTATGCTGCAAGGGCTAACAAGTGGGGTTCTGCAGGGTCCAGTTCTGTTCAATATCTTCATCAGCGATTTAGATGGTGGCACAGAGAGGACGCTCATTAAGTTTGCAGATGATACCAGGCTGGGAGGGGTTGCAAGTGCTTTGGAGGAGGGGTCCTAATTCAAACGGATCTGGACAAGCTGGAGAAATGGTCTGAGGTCAATAGGTTGAAATTTAACAAAGTGCCCCGTGTAGGGCGGAACAATCTGTGTCACGTGTACACAAATTGGGAAATGCCTGTCAAGGAAGGAGCTCTGCAGAAAGGGATCTAGGGGTCACAGTGGATCACGAGCCAGCTAAGTATGAGTCAGCAGTGTGACACTGTTGCAGACACACCCACACACCCCATTCTGGGTTGCATTAACAGGAGTGTTGTAAACAAGGCACCCGGAGTCCTTCTCCCCTTCTGCTTTGAGCTGATAAGGCCTCTCTCTCTCTCTCTCCCCCCCCCCCTTTCCCACACACACACACACTTCAGAAGAGATGTGGAGAAATTGGAGAGGGTCCAGAGAAGAGCAACAAAGACAATTAAAGGTCTAGAAAAGTAAACATGAGGGACGACTGAAAGAACTGGGCTTGGCTTAGTTTAGAAAAGAGAAGATGGAGAGGAGACATGAGAGCGGATTTCAAGTATCTAAAAGGGTGTCACAAGGAGGAGGGAGAAAAATTGTTCTTGGCCTCTGAGGCTAGGCCAAGAAGCAAGGGGCTTAAACTGCAGCAAGGGAAGTTGAGGTTGGACATTAGGAGAAACTTCCTGCCTGTCAGGGTGGTGAAACACTAGAATAAGTTGCCTAGGGAGGTTGTGGGTTCTTCACCACTGGAGATATTTAAGAGCAGGTTGGACAGACACCTGCCAGAGCTGGTCTGGATGATGCTTGGTCCTGCTGTGAGGGCAGGAGATGGGACTTGCTGACCTCTTGAGATCCCTTCCCGTTCTAGTGTTCTATGATTTTTGAGGGGGCGAGAGAGAGAATTTGCCTGAGGTAGATGGCAAAACCGGGAATAAAACCACTAAACTCCTCCCCTCTGCTCCCAGAGCCAGGGGAAGGCCCAAGGAGTCCTGATACAGATCAGTCCTGACAAATCACTGTTGCGCCTGGTAGTGTAGCCAGCACCTGCAGTGCGGTCCATGCATTTCCCATCCCCACCAGGGAGCAGCCTCCTATCTCCCCACACTAGGGGCAGCCCCCTACACCCTGCAACCCCCCCTGTGTTGGGGCAGCCCCCTACACCCTGCAACCATACCTGTGTTAGCAGCCTCTGACGGCTGTCCTTCGGGCGGCACCTCTTTGCGGCTCCGGCGGGGCCGGTGGCGTCTCTTGGGGCGCTTGGCCTCCAGCAGCGGGTTGCAGGCCAGGTGCCGGCACCGAGCCTTTGTCTCCTCACCCTCCTCGTCCAGAGTCACCAGCTCCTTCATGTCGCCCAGGAGGTGGCGCAGCGAGAGGTACCCGTGCCGGGCTAGATCCAGGCGTCGGCTGTGGTGCTGGTAGAAAAGGCCCCCGAAATTTCGCAGAGGGATGCCCCCTGGGTGGCTCACCAGCAGCTCCAGCACGGCCCCCTTGAGGGCCAGCTGGGCGCCCAGCTCCAAGCCCTCCCCTGCAAAGAGAAACAGCTGTAGGGACTGGGGGGCTCCCAGGGCACCTGCTGGGAGGTCCCTCCACTGGCCACCAAGGGGACTCTGCTACGGAGCAGCAGAAGGGTGGGCAGGGACACAGCCGGGATACCGGGGTAGATGGGCCCCTGTACCAAACAGGGAGAAAAATTCCCAGCACACAGGGCGCTGCAGTTCAGGACGAAAGTTTTTGTCGGCAGTGGGCAGCTGGGAGGGGGCAGCCCCTTCCCAACCACTAGGCTCCACTCCCTTCCTAGACATCCTAGTTCCCTGCCCCCCTTGCCCCGACTTCCAGGACAGATCCCAGGCATCCTAGTTTCCAGCTTCCCTGCTCTAACCACTAGTCCCCTCTCCCCTCCCAGATCCAGGGCAGAACCCAGCCATCTTGGCTCCCAGCTCCCCTGCTCTAACCACTAGTCCCCTCTCCCCTCCCAGATCTAGGGCAGAACCCAGCCATCTTGGCTCCCAGCTCCCCTGCTCTAACCACTATCCCCCTCTCCCCTCCCAGATCTAGGACAGAACCTAGGCACCCAGGATCACCTCCCCCACCCCCACCAGCTCACCTGTCATAGCCAGAGGCAAGAAAGAGCCCCTCCTGGGAGCGTAGGCTGCAGCCACAAGCAGCTGAACCTGGAGGGGAGGGAGTTCTCCCATGGGGCCCTTTGGAAACTAGGTTCTTAGCCCCACCCCTCCCTCCCTGCTTGGGCTGGGCTCCTGTTAACCCTTTGTGTGCTGGCCCCAAGCCACAAAGCAGAAGCTGGCAGCCAGGACGCCTGGGTTCCACCCCAGCTGTGGAAGGGGAGCGGGGTGTAGTGGTTAGAGAGGGCTGGAAACCAGGCCCCCGCGGGGCCCCCTGCCCGGTCTTGCCCCTTGGGGGGGGGGGGGGGAGGGGGCAGGATTATCCCCTCCAGAGTATTCCCCATCCTCGGGAAAACCAAAATCCATCCCCCCACACTCCCTGCACCTAGGTTGATCTGTCCAGACCATGGTCTTTACAGGGGCAATGAGAAAGGAGTAGGCCAGCCCCCCGCCCCCGTCCCGTCCAGGCCCTGCCATGCTTCTCCGGTCACTCCCCTCCCTCCCCACACCGCTTGTGCCCAGACTGCTGGGGGCACACCCACCCACGCGGCCCCTCCCTGAGCTCTGCCAGGGTTGGCAAGTGCCCAGGTCCAAAGGTGCCCTGGGAGGAATGGAACCAGCTGCGGCGAGGAAAAGGGGGGGGCAGTACTGCCCAGTCTTCATAATAGGACCTAGGAGTCCTGGCTGCTCCCCCCCACCCTAACTCCCCTCCCAGAGCCCAGGAGTCCTGGCTCTCAGGCCACCTGCTTTAACCACTGGTGCCCACTATCATCCCAGAGCCAGGGAGAGAACCCAGGACTCCTGGCTCTCAGGCCACCTGCGCTAACCACTAGCCCCCACTCCCCTTCCAGAGCCCAGGGATAGAACCCAGGAGTCCTGGCTCTCAGGACACCTGCGCTAACCACTAGTCCCCACTTCCCTCCCAGAGCAAGAACCCAGGAGTCCTGGCTCTCAGGTCACATGCTCTAACCACTAGCCCCCACTCCCCTCCCAGAGCCCAGGGAGAGAACCCAGGACTCCTGGCTCTCAGGCCGCCCGCTCTAACCACTAGCCCCCACTCCCCTCCCAGAGCCCAGGGAGAGAACCCAGGACTCCTGGCTCTCAGGCCGCCCGCTCTAACCACTAGCCCCCACTCCCCTCCCAGAGCCCAGGGAGAGAACCCAGGACTCCTGGCTCTCAGGCCGCCCGCTCTAACCACTAGCCCCCACTCCCCTCCCAGAGCCCAGGGAGAGAACCCAGGACTCCTGGCTCTCAGGCCGCCCGCTCTAACCACTAGCCCCCACTCCCCTCCCAGAGCCCAGGGAGAGAACCCAGGACTCCTGGCTCCCAGCCCACTTGTGCTAACCCAGTTGGCTCCCATATCCCACTGCCGCAGGGCAAATCCCAGAACACTCGAATGGGAGAAGAGACCCCAGGAGGTCATTGAGCCCCGGCCCTGGCCCTCACGGCAGGACCAAGCACCGTCTAGAGCATCCCTGGCAGGCGTCTGTCCAACCTGCTCTTCAATATCTCCAGGGACGGAGATTCCACAACCCCCCTCGGCAACTTATTCCAGTGCTGAACCACCCTGACTGGCAGGGAGTTCTTCCTAATGTCCAACCTCAACCTCCCTTGCTGCCGTTTAAGCCCCTTGCTCCTTGTTCTATCCTCAGAGGCCAAGAACAATTTTTCTCCCTCCTTGTGACACCGTATTAGGTGCTTGAGAGCTGCTACCAGGTCCCCTCTGGGTCTTCACTTTTCCAGCCTGGCTGCCGGCCCTCCAATATGGCTGCAGAAAAAGGTTTTATCCTTCCATGGTGGCCCAAGCTAAAAAAAAAAAGAAAAAACGACTGGCGTTGGAAAAGGTTCCCCAAAGGGCAACAGAAGGGAATGGGGTCTGGGACGGCTTTTGTGTGAGGAGAGATTAAAAAAAGGGGCCTTTTCAGAGACCCCGACAGGAGGCGGATAAGCGAGTGTTATTCACGCCTGGCCGTAACACAGGAACTAGGGGGGACCCGAGGAAATGAACAGTCAGCAGCTTGACGAGAAGCAACAGGAAACGTTTCCTCACTCAACACGCCGCCAGCCCGGGGACTCAGCGCTGCCAACCAGTCAGAGGGTATAAACCCGAACACAGGGGGCCGCGTTGGGCTTTTCTCCCCTCCCCCCACCGGTGCTGTGAGCAACAGGGACCCTCAGAGACCTGAAGACCCCAACAGAGGGGACTGGCCCAGGTTTGAGGGACACACCCGCAGTATCTGGAGGGGAGGAGGTGAAAGAAATTGCTTCCCCTGGTTGTCGCCTAGTGTCCAAGGGGGGTAGTTTTGCTCGCCTGCTTCTATTTTGTTGTCTTTGGTCACTGTCAGCAAGGCGCAAGGTGTCACGGGGCCGGCCCCCCCCACATACGCAGCCAGAAGAGACTTTTGGCCAGCTGGTAGAATGGGCTTATTAGTTTTTAAAGTTTTTTTAAGTGACAAACTAACACGGCTACCCCTCTGAGAGGTTTATTGGGCGCCAGGGACACGTGTAGAACAGACTTGGCAGCACAGGAACCAGAATCATAGAAGGGGAGGGGACCTCAAGAGGTCATCGAGTCACGACCCTCATGGCAGGACCAGGTACTGTCTAGAGCAATGGTCCCCAACCTTTGGGGGCTGCCGGGCGCCCGGGGGCGGGGCCACTCACGTGCCAGGCACCCGGGGGCGGGGCTGTGCATGCGCCCCGGGATGGGGCTGCTCACGCACCTGGGGACGGGGCCACCCATACGCCAGGTGTCCAGTACTGGCGCCACCCATGCGCCGCACTCCCGGGGCTGGGACCGC